ACAATGAGAACACATGGACAGAGGGAGGGGAACATTACATGCCGGGGCCTGTCAGGGGGTGCGGGTTAGGTCGGGGGAGAGCATTAGGACAAACACCTAATGCATGTGTGGCTTAAAAACTAGATGAACGGGTTGATAGGTGCAGCAAACCACCATGGCACATATATACCTATGTAACAAACTTGCACGTTCTGCACCTGTATCCTAGAACTTAAAGTAAGATAAAAAAGAAAAAGAAAAAGTTGGGCCAGGAGCAGTGGCTGACGCGTGTAATCCTAGCACTTTGGGAGGGTGAGGTGAGATCACTTGAGGTCAAGAGTTCAAGACCAGCCTGGCCGACATGGTGAAACTCATCTCTACTAAAAATACAAAAAGTAGCTGGGCGTGGTGGCACACACCTGTAATCTCAGCTACTCAAGAGGCTGAGGCATGAGGTTGCAGTGAGTCAAGATTGTGCCATTGCACTCCAGCCTAGGTAACAGAGTGAGACTCCATCTCAAAAAAAAAAAAAAAAAAAAAAAGAAAGAAAAGAAAAAGTTGATTAGGCATGGTGGCTCATGCTTATAATCCCAGCACTTTGGCTTTGGAAGGCCGAGGCAAGAGGGTCGCTTGAGCACAGGAGTTCAAAAACAGCCTGGACAACAAACAAAGCAAGACCCTGTCCCTCAAACAAACGAACAAACAAATAAATAAATAAATAAATAAGAAAATAAATAGCAAGCCACAGATTGAGAGAAAATATTTTCAAAACATATATCTAACAAAGGACTTCTATTCAGAATATATAAAGAACTCTTACAACTCAGGCAAGCAACTCATTTTTTTTTTTTTAATGGGTAAAAGAGTTAACATTTCAAAAATGACAATAGCTGAATGGACAAACACACAAAAAGATGTTCAGCAACACTGGTCATTAAGGAAATACAAATTAAAACCACACTGAGATACCGTAACAAAAACCTCTAGAATGGCTAAATTAACAAAACTGGCCATTAACAAATGGCAAGGATGTGAAGTTAACTGGGATTCTCATGCATTGCTGGAGAGAATGCAAAATGGTACAACCACTGTGTAAAAGACTGGCAGTTTCTTAGAACGGTAACTACACACATGCTATATAGTCCAGCACTTCTACTCCTAGATATTTGTTCAAGAAAAATAAAAGTATATATTACTGTACTGGTACACAATGTTCAGAACATCTTTTTTGTTTTTTGCTTTTTTTCTTTTTTTGAGAAAGAGTCTTCTTGTTCTGTCGCCCAGGCTGGCACAATCTAGGCTAACTGCAACGTCCACCTCACAGGTTCAAGTGATTCTTGTGCCTCAGCCTCTCAGCCTCCCGAGTAGCTGGGATTACACCTGGCTAATTTCTGTATTTTTAGTAGAGACAGGGTTTCACCATGTTGGCCAGGCTGGTCTTGAAATCCTGACCTCAAGTGATCCACCCGGCCTTGGCCTCCCAAAGTGCTGGCATTACAGGCGTGAGCCACCACACCTGGCCAAAACAGCTTTATTTTTAAAAGCCAAAACTTGGAGGCAACCCAAATGTCCATCAATATTTGTATGAATGGATAAGTAAACTGTGTTATATCCATACAATCGAATATACCTCAGGGGGAGAAAAAGGAACAAAGTGGATGAATTGCAAAACTAACATGTTAAGTGAAAGAAGGCAGACACAACAAAGTACTCACTGTATGATTCCTTTTATATAATATTCTAGAAAACACAAAACTATAGGGGCAGAAACTTGACCCTGGGTTTGCAGATGGGAGTGTGAATTGACTGTAAACACTCAGGGACAAGCTTTTCAAATATCTGAAAACTTGACTGTACCGGTAAATAACTTTACAAATACAATTTATTCGGTTTATTCAATTGTACACTTAAAATGGCCAAATTTTATGTTATGTGAATTATACCTCAAAAAAGCTATTTAAAAGAGTAGTTCAACTAGTATCTATTCTATTTTTTCTTTTGTGATTTAAATCCTATAAGTGTTTTTTTGTGTGTGGGGGGTGGTTTTTTATTGTTGTTGTTGTTGTTGTTGTTTTTTGAGATGGAGTCTCACCCTGTCACACAGGCTGGAGTGCAGTGGCGCAATCTCTGCTCGCTGCAACCTCTGCCTCCCGGCTTCAAGTGATTCTCCTGCCTCAGCCCTAAAGCTAGATCTGTGAAGGCACAGATTTTTTTTTTTTTCTTGAGACGGATTCTTGCTCTGTTGCCCAGGATGGAGTGCAGTGGCACTATCTTGGCTCACTGCAACTTCCTCTCCCGGGTTCAAGCGATTCTCCTGCCTCAGCCTCCCGAGTAGCTGGGATTACAGGCATGCAGCCACCATGCCTGTCTACTTTTTGTATTTTTAGTAGAGACGGGGTTTCACCATGTTGGCCAGACTGGTCTTGAACTCTTGATGTCAAGTGATCTGCCCACCTCTGCCTCCCAAAGTGCTGGGATTGCAGGCATGAGCCACCATGCCAGCCGTAATCCTATAGCCGGTTTTATCATTGCATTCATAAATAGGTATGGCATTTTTTAAAGGCTATATGGTTAAGCTATAGATGGAAGAAGAAATCATGATAATTTTATTCTATTAAATCAGGGTGTCCAATCTTTTGGCTTCCCTGCAGCATACTGGAAGAAGAACCGTCTTCGGCCAAGCATAAAATGCACTAACAATAGCTGATGATAAACAAACAAACAAAAATCATAATGTTTTAAGAAAGTTTATGAATTTGTGTCTCCATCTCAAAGCCATCCTGGGTCACATGTGAGCCACAGGTCAGATAAGCTTGTATCAGATTTTGTTTTACATGGTATGTTTTTACCCAGCCATTTGTTCTTCTTTATAATTTGTTCTAAATTTCAGTCTCATTTTCAATAGGCTTCCTCTCCTCCACCCAAGGCATTTGTTCATCCCCTCTGTTCCTACTCCTCCACTGAACACTCTAGAATTCTGGCTCTACTGTTAAATTCCTCTATCTTTCTCTGTGTCTCCAAACTGTTCCCTGAAGGCTCTCTGTACCTTCTAGTCATTCAATCAAAGAAGCTTTCCCTAGGATACTGCTCGCCCCTGCAGGGAATGAGATCTCCATAGCCCATATACCTTACAAGTCCAGTATTGATGTTGGTGTTTTCTTCATTCATCAAAGTCATTTCTGGACCATGCTTCCTCTACCCCTCTTACAAAAATGCTTGTTCACCTGAGCTCAAATCAATAATATCACCTTCTACCAACTATTTCTCAACTGTCTATCTCTTCAGTCACTTTTCCCTCCTTCATTAAGACTTTACACCCCTATCAGTCCTCCTCAACACCTCAAAGCTTGCCATTTAACAGCTTGATCTTTCTCTTCTTTGATCTCATTATCATCAAGGAAGTTCTCTTCCATTCTCATCATTTGTTTAATGTAAATCTTCCCTGTCAGACTAAGGTCCATGAAGATGGGGACCATAGATGTCTGGTTCACTGCTAACCCCCAAGCAAACAGCATAGTATATACTCTAGTTAAATAAGATTTTTTTTTTCATCCCCACTAAATACAAAAAATTGAAGCTACTGGCTGGGCACCATGGCTCATGCCTGTAATTTCTGCATTTTGGAAGCCCAAGGCAGGCAGATCACCTAAGGTCAGGAGTTTGAGACCAGCCTGGAAAACATGGTAAAACCCCATCTCTACTAAAAATACAAAAATTAGCAGGGCATGGTGGCGCGTGCCTGTAGTCCCAGCCACTCAGGAGGCTGAGGCAGGACAATCACTTGAACCCGGGAGGTGGAGGCTGCAGTGAGCCGAGATGGTGCCACTACACTCCAGCTTGGGTGACAGAGCAAGACTCCGTCTCAAAAAAAAAAAAAAAAATTGAAGCTACTAGCAGGCCCACGTTGCTTACAAGAAAAACAACAAAGACAATGAACTATCTGGAAATCGTATCTAAAAAAAATCAAACAAACAAAGGATGTTTTACCCAAGAAAGTATTAGTACTTTGAACAATTAAAGGAAATTAAACTTAATATATAAAAAGGCTGACAATTTTGAAACTTGAGATGAGGAATTGGCTCTGCTACTAATTAGTGGCTTTACTTAGTGTTCTCAGTCCTCTATTTTTACCTCATCTATAAATTTAAAAAGTTGGATCTTCTGAGTTCTAAACATTCTATTTCATTCATGTCAAATGGTGCCCCAGCATGCAAAAGGAGCCCAATAAGGATGTTATAAGATGGCAACCTGATGAGCCAGACCTGTCACAATCTGAACCAAGTTACCTTATTAAAAAAAAAAAATCTAAAAAATAATAATAACCTAAGAATACTAAGATCTAGCAGAGCTTCATAAATAATGGTGGGACTAGATCAGGGTTCAGCAAACTATGAACCCTGGGGCAGTATGTTTTTGTAAAGTTTATTGGAAGATAGCCACATTATTCATTTAAGTATTATCTATGGCTGCTTTCTTGCTATTAACAGCAGAGTTCCATAGTTGTGAAAGAGACTACATGGCCCACAGAGCCTAAAATATTTACTATTGGCTGGGTGTGGTGGCTCATGCCTGCAACCCCAGCACTTTGGGAGGCCAAGGTGGAAGGACCACTTGAGCCCAGGAGTTTGACACTAGCCTGGGCAACATAGTGAGACCTAGTCTCTACAAAATAATAATATAAAAATGTTAAAAAAAAAATTATATATATATATATATATTTGCTATCTGGCATCTTAAGAAAAAGTTTGCTGACCCTAAACGATCTATAAGGTTCATTTAACATTCTTATATGCTGGCGATGAAAAAAAGAACTGCAGTAAAAAACTCTTAAATGGAAGACAGCAATAAAAAAGGAATAAGGCATGAGGAGAGAGAACAATTCAAACAAGATCAAAATTCACCTCCCAGTGATAACACTAACTTCTCTTTTTAAGCCAGTGCATGGCTTATCTTCCAGTCACTGAAACCTTCTATTCCAAGAATATACAAGATTAAACAAGCATTAGCGATTTAACACTCACCTGCCTTCCTTAACTTTTTCTGCATTCCCTCGACATATGTAGTTTTCAATGTAACCATCGCTGCAGTTGATTTTTGACCAATCTGGATCACAAACATCCAAGAAGTGAGGCCGCAGTCTGCCTATTGAATACTTGGCAATGTCAGTCAGGGACTGACTAGCAGCTGCACCAAATAAAAAGGTTCCAATGGCTTTGTAAATAGTGGCTATGTAGTTATTCCTGATAAAGGAATTTGAGTGCAAAAGGTTACAGTAAACAGACAGGGTTTCTCCAAGAATCATCTGAAAAAGAAACAGAAAAATAACATGTTAAAGTAGCAAGCAGGCACTTTAAACAAAACGAAACATAGTGGGGAAGAAGGAAATGGTAAATCACAAAAAGATCTTTGTTTTAAAAACTGTCCCAGCCCCTTTTTTCTTTACAATGGAGTCAACTTCAGATATCCAATTCTAAACCACAAAAAAGGTGTCTTATCAATGGTGAACATTACTCACAAAGCCATGGCTGGGCCAAAAACATATCATTGCTTACCTAAAATAACAAGATCGTATTTTTTTTCTTGTATTCAAATAAACAGAGTTTTAAAAAGTACAAAGAGATATATCCTGGAGGACAAAAGCTATGGCTTGTCCAAAAAACAAACTTCCGGCTGGGCATGGTGGCTCATGCCTGTAATCCCAGCACTTTGGGAGCCCAAGGCGGGTGGATCACCCGAAGTCAGGAGTTCGAGACCAGCCTGGCCAACATGGTAAACCCTGTCTCTACAAAAATTACAAAAAAACAACCAGGCATCGAAGAAGGTGCCTGTAATCCCAGCTACTTGGGAGGCTAAGGCAAGAGAATCGCTTGAACCTGGGAGGCGGAGGTTGCAGCGAGCCGAGATTGTGCCATTGCACTCCAGCTTGGGCAACAAGAGCAAGACTCTATCTCGATAAATACATACATACATACTTCCCCAATCAGAAACTCCTGTGTATAAGTACTTTTACCTGACAGAGTCTTCATTTTTCTCAAATATTCCTTTGAATCAAAGACATCCATCATATTAAAAAGGGTAAAATCATTTCAGGGAGGATTGCTAGAGGATACAGAGGGCAGGGATTTAGCTAACAGGATATACCAGTCCTGCCTTCCAGGTGACCTCTGCTGGAGGCCCAAGGGGTGCGATGGGACTCTTAGTCACTAATTTAAAAGTATAAAAAGGTTTCTGATGCTTTACAAGTTAACAAACCAGTATCCTGAGAATTCAAAGAATACTGAATGGCAACATTATAAATAGTAACATTTGCTATTAAAAAAGACAGTAAGACTCTAGATACCTGAGACCAAAATAAACAGCTAAGGCCAGGCACTGTGGCTCAACTCCTGTAATCCCAGCACTTTGGGAGGCAGAGGCAGGTGAATCATTTGAGGTCAGGAGTTCGAGACCAGCCTGGCCAATATGGTGAAACCCCGTATCTACTAAAAATACCAAAAATTAGCCAGGAGTGGTGGCAGGCGCCTATAATCCCCAGCTACTTGGCAGACTGAGGCGGAAGAATCGCTTGAACCTGGGAGGTGGAGGCTGCAGTGAGCCAAGATGGCGCCACTGCACTCCAGCCTCGGCGCGACACAGCAAGACTCCATCTCAAAAAAATAATAATTAAAAACAACAACAACAACAACAAAAACCACTTAAACACAGAATAGTCTGAACAGTGGGTTTGCTAATCTGTGTGGAGAGAATATAAGTAGCAAAGCTTGACTTGAAATACATTACTAGTTTCTCTACTTCACCTTAAATTTATATAAACAATTTTATAAAGGATTCAAACATTTCCATTTAATGAGGATCAACTGTCTTCAGGGTAAGTCTTACCATAAGTAAAATAAATGGTTGCTTCCTGAAAGGGATTTCAAGAATCTGATACCTAAAATCCTTTCCTTATTCTGGCTCAATGACTCCTAGAGTTCCATAATTAGAATGTTATAACTTTGACAATGAGACTCTGAACTCTACAAGGTAAGGAGGATTTCTTAATTGCTGAACAGAAACCTCCTATCACCAGAGTGACCTAAACAAAGTAAGTGGTCAATAAATTTTAGTGGAAGGTGCTGCCTTGGGTAAACAGTAAATGCCCTTAGTTTACACATTAAGCCCCATAAAAATACAGTTCTAATTATAGTCCTTAATGTGAATGAATTAATCAGATTCTTTTCTGAGAACAGGTCACAGGAGAGGTTCCAGGAATGCCATTCCTTTACAATTTTGCTTAGGGTTATCCCTGACTGCCAACAGAAGAGCCCTTTCCATTTCAGTATACATTGCCTCCTTACGCCAGGAAGGGGTCCCAGTATTTCCTCACAGATTAGTAGCCAGAAAGAACTTATCTAACATTTCATTTTGGAATTAATCTTTGATTCTTGAAAACATATCAAGTATATTAATCAACCACAGTTTTAGCAGTTGAAACTTCCACATCTCAGGTATCAGCTGTTCTTCCACATCTCAGCTATCAGCTGGCACTCGACTATTTTCCAAAAGCAGGTAGTATGTTTTGTGAGTCTTCCTAGTCATAATCATCATAGTTTATGGCCACCCAAATCCTGGCTCTTGCCAGTGATGACAGAAAATGAGTTTGCTAGGAATATTCAGAATACTGGGCACAGATTAAAAGCTGATCTTCAGAAGCAGTGTAAGCTGAAACTTAGCCATTAATACTGGGAATGCAGGCAAGTCTCTAACGCCAGCAAATGCTAGGTTAACTTACATCACTGAGAGAAGCAGACAATAGAGGAGTTCTAAATTAATTCTTCTGAATTAAATGCAGAGATGTGTCTGCCCATTTGATCCACACAAGATAGCCATATTGTTTTGTTTCATTTCAATTCCTTATCCTGACCTTTGAGCCATTTATGCCAATTCTTAACCTTTCATGAAGTCAACAGCTAAGCCAAGTGTGGCCTAATCCTAAAACTGAGATTATTTATAATGTATTATTTACTCAGATTCTAGGATATGATAAATTATCAAAGAAATAAAAATGATGTTTGGAGGAGTAAAACAATACTTATGAAGTTCAAAGCTAATAATTATCTAAATCAGAGTGATTCAACCTTTTTAAACCTGTCTCCCATAGTATTCTCTTACCATCCCCTTTAAATCTCCATCAACCAAGATAGTTTTATGTTTCTACACTGTCCCTATGATTTTGTGTCTTTCATTCAGGGCCCATCTTCCCAAAAGAACAGTCTAAAATCAATGGCACATCTCCACATCTTCCTCTCCCTCCTAAATATCTCTAACCACTTCCATTTCCTTTATTCTACTGATTTTTTCACAAAAGTCAAAATTGTCTCATCCGATCAAAGAGATTTTCTTTTTTTCTTTTTTTTTTTTTTTTTGAGACACAGTCTTGCTCTGTTGCCCAGGCTAGAGTGCAGTGGCACAATCTCGGCTCACTGCAACCTCTGCCTCCCAGGTTCAAGCGATTCTCCTGCTTCAGCCTCCTGTGTAGCTGGGATTACAGATGTGCACCACTGCGCGCAGCTAATTTTTGTCTTTTTAGTAGAAAAGAGGTTTCACCATCTTGACCAGGCTGGTCTTGAACTCCTGACTTTGTGATCCACCCACCTCGGCCTCCCAAAGTGCTGGGATTACAGGAGTGAGCCACCGCACCCAGCCAGATCAAACAGATTTTTATCAACTCTCACTTACTTTAACTTCTCGGTACATTTGACTTCACTGACCACTTCCTCCTTATTGAAATTATCCCATGTCTTCTGAGAAACTATAATAATCCTGGTTCTCTACCGGCCAGGTTCCCTCAGTCACTCATTTATTAATGAATCATTTGCAACTCATGTCAAGGCCCTGGTGTGCAATCTTAATCATGGCGATTTTTTTAAATAAATGATTTACTTTCTAGTAAACAAAGTTAAATGTATACAAGTCTAACTGAGCATTGCCTGAAAGAGGCTGAGTTAATGAATAAAATAGAATTATGTTAATTTAGCACATAAGGCTGGGCATGATGGCTTACACCTATAATCCCAGCACTTCGGGATGTTGAGGCAGGAGGGTTGCTTGAACCCAGGAGTTTGAGACACAAGCCTGCGCAACTCAGAGAGATCGTATCTCTTAAAAAAAAAAAATGTAATTAGCCGGTTGTGGTGGTGCACACCTGTGGTCCCAGCTCCTCAGGTGGCTGAAGCAGGAGGATCACTTAAGCCCAGGAGGTCGAGGCTGCAGTGAGCTCTGATCACACCACTGCACTCCAAGCCTGGGTGACAGAGAAAGACTCTGTCAATCAATTAATCAAAACATACATATATAAAACCACTGCCCTAAGCAGTGTTTGTTTTCAGTGATACTGTAGAGATGAATAACAGTGCGTTTAAACAATCAGTTCTTTTTAAAGCAGTCTGTACTCATCTATTAATTTACTTGCCATTTTATTAAATGTAAAGATAACTTTCTCACAGGTTATGTTGAGAGAGTAAAGAATAGGCCGGGCACAGTGGCTCACACCTGTAATCCCAGCACTTTGGGAGGCTGAGGCGGGTGGATCATGAGGTCAGGAGCTCAAGACCATCCTGGCCAACATAGTGAAACCCCATCTTTACTAAAAATACAAAAATCAGCTGGATGTGGTGGCAGGCGCCTGTAATCCCAGCCACTTGGGAGGCTGAAGCAAGAGAATCGCTTGAACCCAGGAGTCAGAGTTTGCAGTGAGCCAAGATTGCGCCACTGCACTCCAGCCCAGGCAACACAGCGAGACTCTGTCTCAAAATAAAGAAAGAAAAGAAAAGAAATAGCAAAGAATTCCAAGTTAATGAAATATAATTCATGAGTTTTTGCTAACTAAGCATTTTGTCAAGCCCTGTATAGGCCGTGCACATCAACACAGCGCCCAGCAATCAGTGGCCTGCTCTACTGCAGCCCTCCAGGCTACAGCAAATTCCTGTAGTTCTGTTTGCATGGCATCCTTTTTACTGAGACCAAAAAAAAGGGCAGAATTGAAAGACAAGTCTATTTCTAGCACTGTTTATTTGAATATTTGAATCCTGTCTGAAATTGGCTATTTGCAACTAAAGTCCTACTAAAAATGTCATATTTAATTGCTTAGCAATCACTCAGAAACATATATACTTTTTTAAAAAAGACCCTACTTCCTCCTTAATGGAAGAATTATAGACTTGGCTTTCTTTTAGCAGTAAAAATTCAGTGTAAAAAATTGTCTAGATTAAAAGAATACCTGATTTCTTAAAACTTCCCCGTATTTCGGGAGAGTCACCAACATTACTGTGTAATTACTCTATAGTTCCTTCATACAGTTTCATTCAGGCACCTAGGACATGCTGGGCTCCATGCCAGGCGGTGAGGACACGAAGATGAACAAGATATCATCTCTGCTTTCAAGGAGCTCACAGTCTTATAAAACAAGTATCTGTATAGCAAAGGTTTTCTTTTATTAATTATGCACCACAAATTACAAGTTAACTTTCAGTGCTAATAAAGTATTATGATCATTCTTAAGACATTTCTAAATTAAGAAGTTTTTCTTTTTTTAAAATAAACTCCAAAAACAGACATGATATACATGCTGTCATCTTTGGCCTATCTCCTGGATACAACTATATATATTTTTTAATTTAAAAAAAAAAAAATCTGTGTGTGTGTGTGTGTGTGTTTGAGAGAGGATCTCACTCTGTTGCCCAAGCTGGAATGCCGTGGTGCAATCATGGTTCACTGCAGCCTCAACTTCCTGAGCTCAAGGGATCCTCCTGCTTCAGCCTTTTGAGTAGCTGGGACTACAGGCTCCTGCCCACCGTGCCTGGCCTTTTTTTTTGAAGCGGGGGTGAGTGGGGGGGTGGATATAGGCAGCGGTCTTGCTATGCTACCCAGGTTGGTCTCATACTTTGGGGCTCAAGTGAGCCTCCTGACTTGGCCTCCCAAATGCTGGGATTAAAAGCATAAGCCACCACATCCAGCATATTTTCTGGATTTTTGTTGTTTTTTTTTTCCAGACGGAGTCTCATCGTGTGACCCAGGCTGGAGTACAATGGTGCAATCTCGGCTTACTGCAACCTCCGCCTCCTAGGTTCAAGTGATTCTCCTGCCTCAGCCTCCTGAGTAGCTGGGATTACAGGTGTGTGTCACCACACCCAGCTAATTTTTGTATTTTTAGTAGAGGTGGGGTTTCGCCAGGTTGACCAGGCTGGTCTCGCACTCCTGACCTCAGGTGATCTGCCCACCTCGCCTCCCAAAGTGCTAGCATTACAGGCGTGAGTCACTGCACCCAGCCTTCTGCTTATAAAGCAGAAGATTTATAAGAGATTATAAAAATCATGTAGTCCAGTCAATAGTCTTATCCCTAGACACATTCTTTAAGCATTTCTACCTGAAATACTGGAAAACAACAGTTACTATTTTAGTTTAAGACTCAGTCTTGCATTCCGTACCAGTAAAAATTCTTTCATATTCACTACTAATCATATATAGAACTACAGCTTTTCTCTCCTGTGTATATTATCTAAAAATTATTTAAAGTAAGCATGCATTATATAAAGTTTTAACATCACTTAGCAATTTTTCTTTTCTAGAACTCAGTACAGAGGGAGAGTCAAAAACAGTAGGTACATACACACAGATACAATAAATTATAAAATGATATCCTATGTATAAAGTATGCTAGAATCATATTGCTATAACATTCAACTATTGATCACAAGATTATTAAAACAATAACAAATTAGAGTTCTAACAATCACAGTGACATGGAAAAGATTAGCATAAAATCTATACATATCCAGCAAGGTTCTTTTCATTTTTTTTTTTCTGTTTTTTTTTAAGATGGGATGTTGAAGTGTTGTCTGGGCTGGAGTATAATGGCTATTCACAGATGTGATCACCACATACTATAGTCTTCAACTGGGAGACTCAAGCAATCCTCCAGCCTCAGCCTCTTGAGTAGCTGGGACTACAGGCATGTCACCGTGCCTGGCTCTTATAATTACACACTGTTATTTTTTAACTCCACTTAAAATAGCTGAGATTATCTTGATCAAATAAACCATCAATTAAAGGTTAAAAAAGCACACATTGTTTTTGGAGGGTTATACATTTAAGCATTAAAAGAATAACAGAAAATTAAGCCAAGGCCCAATAGTTACAAACTTGGAAAAGTGGATTTAACTTACAACGATAATACTGAATGGAATGATTATTCCACCTAATAACGCATAAGGTATGGTGTCTTCTTTGTAAGGGTACTTGATGGACTCATCATTACAGAATACTCCTCGTTGGAAGGGGGTATGCCTTGAAGTAAGAATTGCAAAAGGCAATCCAGCTAGCAAAAGGGAATAAATGAAAATATCATTAAAAAAGAAATACCAAAACTAATTAATGTCAATAATTATCCCAGAGACTCTGTTTAAAAATGCATTTGCCATGAAAATAAGTGAGAGCACATGTAAAAAAGGAAATGCAGCAATGCATGCAACAGAAGTTGGAAAGATTACAGTTTTAAGATAAAGATGTTTTGTCTACAGCAAACAAAGCATTCAAATCCTCTATTAACCAATTTAATAAAGAATTATCTTTCCTTTGTTTCTGTCCAAACACACTAAACGGATTTTGGGAAAATCTCTTCTCATGTCCTTGTTGTCATTTAATCGCCAGGTTTCTAACACTACTTCAAAACCAATTTTTCATGGGCTTCACTTCCAAAAAGAAAACATTTTAGCATTCCACATTTGGATAGGTCATTGTCACTGGCTAAGCTATCAGAGTATCTAAATAAAACTTTATCCACTCATTTCTGTATTGTCTATAGCAGCCTGAAAGCTGCTATAAAAAGAAGAATCTGAACGTAAAGTTTTTTGTTTTGTTTTTGTTTTTGTTTTTGTTTTTTGAGACAGGGTCTCATTCTGTTACCCAGGCTACAGTGCCATGGCACGATCATAGCTAAGTGCAGCCTCGATCTTCTGGGCTCAAGCTATCCTCCTGCTTCAGCTTCTCGAGCAGCTGGGACCACAGGCACGCACCACCATGCCAAGCTAGTTTTTTGTTTTGTTTTGCTTTAATTTTTTAGTAGAGATGAGGTCCAGCTATGTTGCCCAGGCTGGTCTTGAACTCCTGAGCTCAACTGATCCTATGGCCTCAGCCTCCCAAAGTGCTGGGATTACAAATGTGAGCCATTGCACCCAGCCCTGAGCTTAGTTTCTTAAGATGATGATGGAGTCAAGCACAAAGGCACCTAACAGAGAGCGCTGTTTTTATCATCAGTGTTTTCTGTAAAGATCATGTCTTATACTCACCTCCTAAAATGCCAATTTTTTGCCTAAATGTGAACTTCAAGAATTCAATTATCCTTTACTTCACTGAACTTGACCTACTGATTAATACTACAGCATACTAATTAGTATTGTGTTGTAAGAGATGCAGGTTAGCAGAAACCCTCCACGTGAGATCTGCTTTAAGACTGACCCAGGCCTGAAACGCTCTCTCCCTAAGTGATCCATGTCCCTGCAGTAATACCATAACCACTAAGCTAACACACTCACTGCAGAAGTGTTGCTTCTCTGTGAAGCACCAAGACTTGATGACCGTTTGCAGTTCTCATTAACTCCACTAAGGCCCTAAAGGCTAAATGACAACCAAGCCTCTGCCACTCTGCCTGAGTGTATTTACCACAAATATCAAATCTGTTCAATCTATTATAAGAGCTAAAAAGGAGAAGCACACGAAATCACATTTCTTTCACTCTTAGCTCTTTTATTGATCTTCCCATTTTTCATTCAGACACTGAATACATGAACCAAAGCTTAGTTCTCTGTATTAGTCAATTTGCCAATAGTTGTCACCCCTTTAAAAAGTCTTTACGATGCTACAAGGTTCCCAAAGCTATACTCCTAGTAATGCTATGCCTTAAAAGAAAAAAAAAAAAAAAAAAACTAAACTAGAGCTGACCTTGCTGACACTTATACTGGCCCTCATATCCCAATTCAGACTATCCTCTGATTCACCAAATAGTTTTCATTCATAGGAATGGGATAAAATGGCCAAGTTTTCAATACATATACCATGGTTACAATATAACTTCAAAAGAATTTGCACAAACCTTTTGCACTTATCAGCACTGTGGAGGTTGCCCCATACAGTAACTAAATGCTTAGCCCCCTAATCAATAACCATACTCTAACTCAATGAGCAAATTTATTTTGTACATAAAAATAACCGCTACTTCTTTTTTCTTTTCTTTTTTTTGAGATGGTGTCTTGCTTTGTTGCTCAGGCTGGGGTGCAGTGACAGAATCTCGGCTCACTGCACCCTCCACTTCTAGGACTCAAGCAATTATCCTGCCTTAGCCTCCCAAGTAGCCAGGACTACAGGCACCCGCCACCACGCCAGGCTAATTTTTGTATTTTTAATAGAGAAGGGTTCTGCCATGTTGGCCGGGCTGGTCTCAAACTCTTGACCTCAAGTGATCCACCCAGCTCAGCCTCCCAAAGTGTTGAGATTATAGGCATGAGCCATAGTGTCCAGCCAAAGAACCACTATCTCTATAATCCAATTCAGTCTACACAAAATAATGGAAACTTTTACTGTCTACAAAGCATATTTCTGAATTGGTTGCATTTTCCAATAAACATTTCTTTCTTTTGGAATAGTATATTTAGTATAGAAATTAAATTCATGGACATGGTGGCATGCGCCTGTAGTCCTGGCTACTTGGGAGGCTGAGGCAGGAGAATCACTTGAACCCAGGAGGTGGAGGTTGCAGTGAGCCGAGACTGTGCTACTGCACTCCAACCTGGGTGACACAGCGAGACTCTGTCTAAAAAAAAAAAAAAAAAAAAAGACAGAAACTAAATTCACATATAATAGAATTAGAGTCCAAAACTCACTAGGCTGTGTGTCCTTATTCTCAGAGAAAACATATAGGCCCAAATACACAGGCCCAAATGTATTTAGAAATGCTATTACCATGTATGTCCATTAATATTAAGGGTTTTTTTCCCCCCAACCACAAAAACCATGTTAGAAATTATTCTTAGATTTAGAAAAAAAGTTTGTGGGTATTTTTCAGGATACTAGGGGAACAAAATAAAACCATATACAAAGGATAATAGCCCATTTAAAAAAATAAAAACATTCATGTGGGCAAATACTAAGTAAACCCACTGTGCAAGGAATTCCGCTAGGTGCTACCAGGAATACAAATTGAATAAGGCACAGTACGTAATTATAGCAGAGAATAAACTGAGGTTCAAAGAACTCTGAGTGTTCAAAAGAAAAGGAGAGTTGGTGATGCCTCTGAGTATGATATTCGATAAGCCAGTGGTTGTGACAGTCTCCATCTCAGCAGAAGGGGTCTAGGACAGAGACAAAGATTTGGGGATATAAAGGGTCTCTAAAGTCACAGAGGTACAAAACACTGTACAGGATGTATATAAAGAGAAAAGAAGTGGAGGGTGAGGCACAGAGCAACAGCAGAGGAAGAAGAGGAGAGGAAGAAGATTCACTAAGGCAGACTTGAGTGGGGTAAGGGCAGGTCAGGAGACAGCGACCTCATCGTGGCCACATTAGAAAGAGAGGGCATTCAGGAGGTGGAGATTGGTCCACAGTGCCCAATATGGCGTCCAATGGGATTTCAATTGCCAGTCTTAGTTAAAGAGGTTTTAATAAGAAAGGGTAACATACAGACTGCAAGTTTTGGTAAGAAAATATGAGAAAATAAGCATGAATCTACCCACACTATTCTGTTGAGAGAATCAAGAAAAGAGGATGCCAACACCAAAGACCTTAGAAATATTTTTAAATTGATAATAAATAATAGCCAATATTTGCCATTCCTCAAATACGCCCATGAGATTTTTTTTTTTTTTTTTTTTGAGACAGAGTTTTGCTCTTGTCGCCGAGGCTGGAGTAAAATCGTGTGATCTCGGCTCACTGCAACCTCCACCTTCCAGGTTCAAGCGATTCTCCTGCCTTGGCCTCCAGAGTAGCTGAGATTACAGGTGAGCACCACCATGCCCAGCTAATTTTTTTGTATTACTAGTAGAGATGGGGTTTCACCATGTTGGCCAGGCTAGTCTCAAACTCCTGACCTCAGGTGATCCACCTGCCTCAGTCTCCCAAAGTGCTGGAATTATAGGCGTGAGCCACTATGCCCAGTCAAGATGTACTGAATCAACGCCATTACCCAATGCCATTTCATTTTCACTAACTATCTAAATCTAAACACAGACCCCTGAAAGGGGATGAAGAAAAAGACCACGGGTTGTTCACTCACCCACTTAAGGCTCAAAAAGAACAGCTCTTTCAGATTCCTGTTCTGGAAATACGGGAATTGTAACAAAAACTGATTAAGTCCAAGGTGGCAAACACCACTAGGCCATGTACAAGGAAGACTGGCTGAAGAAGAAGCTGAGAACAAAGCAGGTCTACAGAGGAGGAAGTAGTGACTAGCCTGGTCCCTGAATGGGTGAAATGGGAAGGTAGCTGTGGTTCCCCAATGCCAAAAGGCCTCAGTGATCTTGCTGCTTGGGGTTATTACAGCACCTTGTATCCTTTTCAACAAAGCCCAATTTTACTTAATCTAGTTAGAAAGAATTTCTACTCTTTGAAACTAAGAGAGACAAAGTAAAAACAATTATAATTTAACCATTCCTCCTACTTTGAGAGCATGTAGGTTATTTTTAATTTTTTGATTACCCTATATGATGCCATAGTTAACATTTCCGAATACAAATTCTTGTTTGCATTTCTAATCTCCTTAAGATATATATGTAAGTGGAATTGAAAGATACAAACATTAAATCCTTGATAAACTATTCCAAAAGGGTTACTGCACACCACCAACTTACTTCACCAGACAGTGTAGAAAAGTGAGCAGAAATGCAAACATTTAAATAGATACTTGATGTTAACTTTGATATTTACTAAAGATTTCAAGGCAAAACTTCGTTTATCAATTCAGTCAAAAACCCTTTTCCTTTTACCTGAAAGATTATATCTCTAAATCCCTTTCATCACTTCTCAAATGACTACCCTCGTCAAACACTGTTTCTCTTATTACTTGAGCTGGCAAAATTCATTTTCACTCTCCCTTTTTTTAAATTGAGGTATAATTTACATACCATGTTTTGGTAAATTTATATTGTGATGCAACATCACCACAATCTAGTTTTAGAACATTTTCATTACCCCCCAAATTCCCTTGAGCCTATTTGCATTCAATCCCTGCTCTCACTAACAAACCCAGGCAACCACTCATCTGCTATCTGTCTCTACATAAATTTGCCTTTTCTAGACATTTCATATAAATGGAATTACAAAATATGT